GGTTGCATATTTGAACAGATGATCCTGGTACTGATGATATCCACACATGTTTATTACTGGAGGTGCGAGGAATGCAATGAGTCACCCCCAGTGCCATCCACTGACACCCGCTGGGAATTACTCAGGGACATCACATCTTTCCCAACGCGGCTCACCCACCCCTTTTGTGCTGCTTTCTCCACCCTCTCCCCACGTACTTCCTTCTCTATTCCCATCCGCAATATGTAGAGGGGTAGAGATGGACAAACCGAAAACAGCCTTAGGAGAAGGCCATTCGATGATGCACGTGCATGACGTGAGTGGGTCTGCACAGTATAACACAGGGCTAAGGTCCATGTGGCCAGATCCTGCACTGCAGCAGATCCAGGCATATCAGAATAAAAATACACCGCCCCCTGGGAATTATGTAAAAAGTCCTGGAAAGTAAAATATTTTTTTGTCTTCTATTGACGCTCCTGCATCCCTTCATTGGAAGTACCTACATTAAGATGCAGTCCAGGGATCATACTTGGGACGTGGTGAGCGCCGCCCCCCAGAGTCGGACACGACTGGACAAAAATTGTCAAGGGGTACCTTTACCTTTACTAGAGATGTACAAACCGAAAACGGCCTTAGGAGAAGGCCGTTCGATGATGCACGTGCATGACGTGACTGGGTCTGCACAGTATAACACAGGGCTAAGGTCCATGTGGCCAGATCCTGCACTGCAGCAGATCCAGGCATATCAGAATAAAAATACACCGCCCCCTGGGAATTATGTAAAAAGTCCTGGAAAGTAAAATATTTTTTGTCTTCTATTGACTCTCCTTCATCCCTTCATTGGAAGTACCTAAATTAGGATGCAGTCCAGGGATCACAGTTGCAAGGAAAGCAAAACAAACGCCCAGGGCGGACCAACTCTCAATGAGGGTGGCGGGCATTTCAACTTTGGTCTCTCTGCTCACGTCCTGCTAATCCAGGGGGTTGGAGAATGTGATCCAGTTCCCCAAGGCTGGGCTCTGTTTTAGGCAGGGTCTTGCTTCAGTTTCCATGATGCAGATTCATAAGCATGGCTAAGCACAGCTTAGCTCTGGGAGAGGGCATAGAATTCCCCCAAAATAGGTCAATCTGACTGGAAATTGAGGACCTGACATCCAGGAGGCCACTGTTATTTCTTCCAAGTTGCAAATTTCTTCAGAGCTGTACATTTCTTCTAAGCTGTAAATAGCCACTCGCCTAGTTTGAGTGTGGTTCGGAAGAATCAGCTCATCTTCTTTATATTTGGCTCACACTTCTTCAGGTTTAGCTGACAAGTTACTTAAAATAACTTACCGTCTGTCCTTCAGACGGAGAGATGAAGTAAGTAAATGGCTTACTGTGTCTCTCATCAAGTCTGACACATAAACAGTTTCCTGCTGAGGTGATATCGTGTACTCAGGAGCAATTGACTGTTGGAGGAAGATTTGCAAGGGATGAAGGTGAAAAAGCCTTCTTCAAAGGTGCACAGGTCTCTAATGCTCTTTGAGGCCACCAGCGGCGCATTTGTGCTTGCGTTGTATGATGGGTCAATGAAAGCAGTTAGCAGAAAAAAATGATTTCCTCAGAGAGTCCCATAGCAAGAATTATGAAGGTCCACATTTTGGCAGTGGTGGTGAGGGGGGATTATTCAGTTCCAAGAATGGCTTAGCCAGTGATTGACTAAATCAAGAACAAGGAGAAGCGTTCCCCCCCAAAAAAAAATAAGCTGTCCCAAGTCCTCATTTTGATCCCACATTGCATCACCCCTGTTCTTAAGCTTCCTCCTTTCTCTGGCGCAACAGGGCATACCTTTTCTGCTCGCCTTGATGACGGGTTTTGCACAGGGCAGGTTTCTTTAAGAAAATGGCCAATTTCCTTGTCATTTTTGGGCCTGGAGGTTGGCAAGAGAAGGATTACTCAAGGCTACTGAACTTGGCTGACGAATCCCAGCGTCCCTTCCTTCCCCACCCTGCAGAGATAACACCGGAACAGCAAACAAGTGGAGTCTCCTGTGCAATGAATAGACGATGGGAAACCCCAGTTTTTCATCTCTCTCTCCTTCCTTCTGGCTCCAAGAGAGAGAGAGAGAGACCAGTTTTTCTCCTTTTCTTTCAGCTTTCTCTTCCCTCCCTGCTACCATTCCAGGTGCCCCATTCAATGTTCTATGCTCGGCGGAAGCCTGCCGTCACGCAAACACGATTCAGGTTCTTCCAGGCTGGTTTTTCCAAACTGGTGAGGGAAAGAGCTCAACAGGGCAAGATCCAGAGGTTCCTGGAGGAGCTTTTCTTGCTCGCTCCAGTGTTTTTCTTCCTGATTTCCCATGACTTTTCATCCCTCCTTTCAGCATGGTTTATTTTCACTCCCACTTTGTTCCTTGGTGGCATTTAGCACTACGATGCTTCCAACTGAAATTCATGTCTGTGGTCAGAGAATAGCTGCAGAAGAAAAGTTCCAGCAGGGAAGGAAGTATTTAAAATGTTTTTTTTAAAAGGATGTCTAAGATTTCCTAGAATAAGTGATTTCCCAGAATCATCACTATTGCCAGAGGTATGCAGGCCACAGTCTACTTTGCTTCATTCAATTCATATCCGAGACCGTGATGTCCAGTTATTTATTCTAGGTTTTGCTGGGAAATCTCATCAGGAAGCATAGATCCCTTCTGCACCTGACATGAACACCTGCCATTGTCTTCTGCTTTGGGCTCTCCTGGCAACCTTATGGTGCCCTTCTGGTAAGTCCGTTCTGGGTTTTCCCCAGCCATTCAGGTATGGTATTCCATTAGTTTACTGAGAAGATGGCACTGTAATGGTATGAGAAGAATCATGTTGAATCAGGCCAAAAATTCCACGGTGTCAAGGATTCTGTTCCAACAGTGGCCAACTCGGTATCCAATGGGAAGCTTATACAAGCAGGACATGAGCCCAAGAACCTTCTGCTAGCCATTTCTCCAAGTACAGTGGTGCCTCGCTTAACGGGTGCCCCGTTTAATGACAAATCCGAATAGCAACGATTTTTTGCGATCACAAAAGCGATTGCATTACAATGATTTAAATGGAAAAAAATCGCATTGTGATGATCGGTAAGCTGTTTCGCTTACCGATTTCCGCATAGCGATGTTTTTCCAACAGCTGATCGGCGGTTCCAAAATGGCTGCTGGGTAAAAAAAATGGCTGCCCGCTATATTTTCGCACTCACTGGGTAAAAAAAATGGCCGCCCGCTATATTTCGCGGTTCCAAAATGGCTTACCGGGCAGTGAAAATGGTGGCCGTATGGAGGATTTTCGCTTAAAGGTGAGCTTTTTGCCCATAGGAACGTATTAAACAAGTTTTAATGCATTCCTATGGGCTTTTTTATTTCACATAGCGACGAATCCGCATAGCGACGATTTTGGCTGCACTGATTATCATCGCTATGCGGGGCACCACTGTAGTTTGCAAGGATGGGGACTCACGTCATGGGATTTGCTGTCAAGTTGGTCTTAAGATGAACTGGTGACTCAAGACTGACTTCAGTTTTTTTTTCAATGACTCAGACTCACACACCCTTCCCTTTTATTCTGGAAAGAAACTATTTTTAGTAGGGACTGAGACTTGAGTTTTGGGGCTAGGGACTTGGTATCAAAGATTCGGAGTCACACCCGAAGACTTGCCAAGATCCTTGGTAACTGAAATGTAGAGTCGTGTTGCGCCTTCTTCTGAAAATTGCTTTGTGCGTGTCCTGAATCCCCTGACATTCATTGGCTGACCCCAGATTCTAGGAGCATGACGGAGACTGGGGGGAAAAATTCCTGCCCACTCTGTACCTAATTTTATGTACTACTTTGATGTCTCAAGTTTCCTGCCTCTTTCATAAATTAAGTTGATCCAAACGTCGTATCTTTCCCTCCCTCCGGTCCCCTGTAAAATGTAAACATGGTTTTCTATGGCTAGCTCTTTCATCAGAAGGGAGGGGAACTTAGCTATCCAAGGATGAGTTCTCGGCCTCTTGGCTGTGAAAAAACAGAGCTTATAACAGTTGCTTTTTGTGATGACACCCCTTAGAATTCCCTTGGCATTAGCTGTGGGATTGTGTGCGTTGTAGTCTCAGAATGTAAGTTGCCCGAGTTTTAGGTGAAGAGCCATCAGGGAGAATCTTCTGACAATCCTCACATGTTGGTCGATGCTCTGATAAGATGTACATTTCAATGACCCAGAGGTCTGCATCCATGATGACATTGAGCCATATACAGTATTTAACCAGATGGAGGCTTTGCTGGGTTTTGCATCCTATGGGTACCAATGAGGAGCCACTATCACCCCGCACCTTTTACGGCAACGTCTTGCAGGAATGCGGGGTGATCTTGTTTCAGTTCATTTTGGATAACAGCTTTCTGAAATCTTCCCAGTTCTTCATATTTAGGATGGAAAGTGTGTGAGCATTTTAAAAATCCACATACAGTAGAAACCAAAACTGGCAGGTCAAGGCCTAGGAACTTTGACTTGCCAAATGTGGATGAGGAGGAATTTTGTCCGAGTTCATTTCTGAAAAATTTACCAACCTTCACCAGCTGCCTAGAGAAAGAACAAGAGGTTTTGAGAAACTGGACTGCAGGAGAAAGTGAAACAGACAGATTTCCCTTATCCCTATCTGACCTTTATCTTTCATTTAGCTCTGCTTGAAATCAATGTAGAAGAATGTGACGCCTTAGTAGACCACTAAAAATCAAATGATGTCATGCAAGCTTTTGTGGAACAAAACCCCACTTCTTCAGGCATGTCCCAGTAAGGTGTAAGTAGAGCAGAAAAAAATATAAATAAATGTCCCAAAAACTCATGGCCAAAGTTGCCAGATACAGTATAATCTTCCTAAGGTTTGTTTAAAGCTGGTTATAGGCAGGCTGTGTATGGTGCTGTGGATGGGCGGGATAGAAATCCAATAAATAAAACATTCAACTTTAATTTAATTTAATTAAGGAATAGATGTGTTTCCTTAATGTCTTCTTCCTGGCATGCTTTCTTCTCAGGCACCCAGGAGCATATTGACTGGGAAATCGAGCGGTTTGACGGTTGGTACAACAACCTTGTGCATCACAAACAAAACTCAGCAGGTAAGAATGGGTGAAACTGGGTTTTTAGGCCACCAACTATTCTTTCAAATGCCATTCCTATCATTAACCATTGTGTTTCCACATACTAAGTACACACACACACACGCACACACTTTCAACCTTTCAGTCTGAAGCTTCACAGAAACCCTTGCTCAAAGGTGGAGCTGGGCTGAGGCATAGCTCCCTAAATCAGGCTTGGCATGGCTCAGAAAAAGCCAATCCTTATTTTGTTCCTTTCCTCCCAAAACTATTTCCCTCACTGGACCTGGATATGCTAGTTTTCCTCTTCCCTCCTCCCCACTTTCTCCTTCCATGCCATGTTATTTCAGGGGCAAGCCATTAGAAAATGTAAGCTATCTTGAATTCTTCAGCAAACTTCATAAGGCAGGCAATCAATGGGGTAAATTAATAAGCAAAATATCTTATATTGCCAGTTCAATGAAGAAGTGACAAAAGTGGGAAAAAGCTGGCTGGCTGGTTTGGTTGGTTGGTTGGTTGGTTGGTTCCTGGCCAGTTATAGGCCAAAAGATTTTGCCACCTGAGGCAGACTGCAAAACATCCCCTTCCAGCTCTAGTTTCTCAGGATTCCCTTTCCTGATATCACCTGGTTTTACCCATGAACTAAGATGTGCTCCTACGATTGACATTTTTATTTCCTACCCTGCAGGATCGGTCTTCTCACGGCTGCTCCCCGCTCGCTATGCTGACGGCGTGTTCCAGGCCCTGCAGGAGCCACAAGTCCCCAATGCACGGAGGCTCAGTGACGTGGTGGCCCGGGGGCCGTCCGAACTCTCTGACCAGGGGAACAGAACAGTATTGGGGGTCTTCTTTGGTAAGCCAACATGTCTTCAGAAGCTACTGCCATCTACCCACAGCAATCCTGTCTGGCTGCATTTGAGTGAATGGTGAAACCTTGAGGTCTGGCCCCACGAGCCTGCCTGTGTTAAGCTATTCTGGGGCTCCTTTTCTCCCCAAAATTGTTTCTTACAGTGTGATCGTTGTGCAGGATCATTGCGCAACAGCATGAGTGCAGCACTACAAAACAGCTGGCATAGAAGGTTGCCAGACCAAGCATTTTCCCATTGCCTGAGATTCTGGGGCCAAAACCAGAGGCCAAGGGGTGGACTCTCATGATATAACAGGAGACAGTGTCTTGCATAAAGATTTCAAAATAAGGTGTCTAAGAGGGGAAGGTAGGCAAGGAGATAGACCAAATTATCCTGCATTATCTTGCTACATTAACACACATATAAGTCTTGGAACCATCTGGGAGCAGGGATATATAGGTGGCTATACAGGAAATAAATCAGCCACACAGAAAATAATAATAATAATAATAATAATAATAATAATAAGAAGAAGAAGAAGAAGAAGAAGAAGAAGAAGAAGAAGAAGAAGAAGAAGAAGAAGAAGAAGAAGAAGAAGAAGAAGAAGAAATAGTGTCATCAAGTCATTATTGGCTGATGGAGACTCTCTTCAGGATCTTCCAGGTAGATGGATACTCCGAAGTGGTTTACCCTTCCCTTCCTCTGGGGGGCAGCCCTGGGATTGTGCAGCTGGTCCAAGGCTACCCAGGCTGGCTTTGCTTCCAAGAGGCACACAGTGGAGAATCGAACTCCCAATCTACCGAAATTTCTGAGCTATCCGGCCAGCTTGAAGATCAAAAAAGGAGCTTGTTAATTAGCACCAACCTAACACTGTCAGTGGTGTGACTCCTGTTGCACATGCAGAGCTATACAACAGAATATTGGCCAGTTCATGGGGTGCATTCTTTTTTTAATTGCACATAATTTATTAATTAATTGTTTAGTTACTAACCAGGTGTGTTAGTAAATATAAGCACTTTGAGAACTGTTTTTCTCTTGCTATTGTTTGGCTTCCGAAACTGTCCCCATTTCCCCCCCACCCCGTCCCATACAGGACAAAACAAATGCATACATATAAATAAATCCTAATAGTAAAATGCTTAATTTCTTCTCTCAATGACACCATTTGATGAGGTATTCCCAGGCACATTGGGCAGGGATTTGTACCGATCTGTGGACCTCGTTTGATGTGTGGAAGCTTCCTTTAGTTTCGGGAGAGTGTAGTTCCTCTTCTCTTCTCATTCCTACACTTGGATTGCAAGGCCAACGTCAAGGGAATTATGACATCTTGATTAGGTTTTGGATTCCTGGTGGTTTCCGACGGGTCCTCCTCTCCGTGTGCATCTCTGCTCCCAATCTCAAAATTGCATTTAGCCACTGAAGCCTGTTTCTCCTTTTTCTAAGCCCTGTTTCCACCGTATTTACTGTGAGATTTGAACGCCTCTGAGAGTTTGAATATTGACGCTAAAATTAATGCAGGACTGATTGCTGCGTGTAACCCACGAACCTTTAGAATGGGGAAACTGATCGTTCATCTGCGTTTCATTCTCTTTCCATATGTCCGACCAAATGGAGAGTCCACAAAAGCTTACATTAAAATATAATAGTTAGTCTTTAAGGTACCACATGCTTTTGTCTCTGTTTTTGTTTTGGAGTTTCTGGATTTCTCCTGATTTCTCTCAAAGCCTGACTCATTCAACGTAGTATTGCCCTTGGGAATGTGTTCAAACATGCTGCGGCTTTTGCGGAACCATTAACTCCATTTTAGTGGTGAGATAGAAAAGAGGGGGCCTAGGGCTGAAGCAGTGATTTCCTTCTGAATTGCCTGTGATTAAGGATTCTCTTGTGCCTCCCTAGGGTTAAAGGAAATCCTTTAAAAGCAGAACTTAAAAGATGTACACAAAGTCATGAGCAGATTATTTGACAGCACTAAAAACAGAACAATTGTCACAATACAGCTGGTTTTGCCTGAGGGGCTGAGTTACCTCAGCAGCTCATTCAAGGACTTGTTTTCTGTTAGTAAAAAAAAAAAGATGTAACTAGAGATGAGAGGATCCTTCTAGCTCTATTCTGTGTCACCTTTAAATCCAAATAGTTTGCGTGCATATGAATCTGAGAATATACATATTATTTAAGTTAGTAGAGAAACATACAAGGTATGTATTTCAGAATACTTCCCAATGTGTTTTTTTTTCTGAAAACATACATATATTTTGTTGAATCTAATCGTAGTCATGTGTTGGCTCTAGACTCATTGAAATCAATGGGGTTTGAATGGTTGTTTTCTTTTGCCATGTGTTTGTTTTTAACTTGTTGTAAACCACCCAGAATTCCACTAACGGGGCAGTATACAAATTTAAGGACTAAATACAGTGTTGTCCTGCCTAGCGACAATAATCCGTGCAGCAAAAATCGCTGCAAAGCGATTTCGTCGCTATGCGAAATTTAAAAGCCCATAGGAATGCATTAAAACCCGTTTAATGAGTTCCTATGGGCAAAAAACTCACCTTTAAGCGAAAATCTTCCATACGGGGACCATTTTCGCTGCCCGGTAAGCAAGGAATCCGGGCAAAAACACAGCGGGCGGCCATTTTTTTAACCCGGTGGCCATTTTGGACCTGCCGATCAGCTGTTGGGAAATCATCACTATGCGATGATCGGTATGCAGCGTACCGATCATTGCAAAGTGATTTTTTACCATCTAAAACATTGCAATGCGATCGCTTTTGCGATCTCAAAAAATTCGTCGCTATGCGGATTTGTCGTTAAGCGAGGCACCACTGTAAATAGTATAAATCCCCTTGACTCCAACAGCTTTGTTATAAATATGGACTAAATTTGGATACAAGCCAAGGGCCCCAAAACCCATTTGTTAGTCCCGCAACTGGAACGCAAGCAGCGCAACAACTTTTGAATTGCCTCTCGTTAAGAAAGCACTGCAGATATTATCAGCTGTGCACTGAGTTGCACAAGTCCGTAGGCAGCCAATAAGATCTATGATGGTTTCTTAACTGGAGACAGTATACCAAACTTTCCTGGCTTACACCATACCAGAGTAAAATCACAACAGAATTTTGGTGAACATGTTTACACTAAAATAAGCCCTTTAGATTTAGGTGGGTTCATTCTGTGTTTACTACAATCTGATTCGTGTGAAAATAAATATTGGTAAATGTTTAATATCTATTTTGGAGCCATGCTGGAAGAGTCAGGAAGGGAAAAAAAAAACCAATTGGCAGTTACACAGTAATCCTCATTCTCACCCAGAAGGTGTGGAACAGGTTTATAACTACCCGAATTTGCAGAGATCAAAGCATCCCTGGGTACAATGTTCTTAAAGAGTGCCAGCCAGAAGTCATTAAATCCAGAAGGCAGCCTCTGCCCCTTGAATTCTTGGAACTAGATTTCATCAGCGTAGTGGCTCTTCACTTGCCTGTTGTGATTTACTCTCTCTTTTCTGTTGTTGTTCCTCCCGCAGGTTTTCACATACTTGCAGAGATTTTGGAGGCTTACCAGCCTGGCTGCCCCGCTGAATTCCTCAACGTAGCAATCCCTCAAGGAGACCCCGTCTTCGACCCCTCCGGCTCAGGCGAGGTCGTCTTGCCCTTTCAGCGCATGCAGTGGTCTCTGGAAACAGGGCAGAGTCCCAACATCCCCCGTGAGCAGGTATAAGTCTCCTGGGTTGTGCCCTGTGGGTGGGGTTTTGTTCTCATGGGGGTACACAGTCACACTCTCTAGCCTTAGCTTACCTCGCAGGGTTGTAAGGAAGATATTGGAAACTTCCACTTCCCAAGTTGATTTGCTGCAGTTCAGCATACAGTGGTGCCTCACTTGACGACGTTAATTCGTTCCAGCAAAATCGCTGTAGAGCAAAAACATCGTCAAACGAAATGAAAAAACCCATAGAAACACATTGAAACCCCCTCAATGCATTCCAATGGGCTGAAAACTCACAATTCCAGCGAAGATCCTCCATAGGGGTGGCCGTTTCGGGTGCCTGTAAAGCAAAAAATGGCTCCTAAAAACAGCGGGGAGCCATTTTCTTCAGCCGGTGTCCATTTTGAAAACCCGACGATCAGCTATTTTGATCGTCATAAAGCGAAAAAAAGGGCCCCGAAGCAGAGAGCCGATCATTGCTAAGTGAAAAAACCCCATTAAAACATTGTTTTGTGATCTCAATTGCGATCGCAAAAACATCATCGTGAAGCGGATTCGTCGTTATATGGGGTAATCGTTAAGCGGGGCACGACTGTAGTGTCCAAACCCTGAACTTAGGTTTGTTTTAACTGTGGCTCGCTGAAACAAGCCAGGTTCTTTAACCATGTTTTGAAGTTGGCTTATTTGAAACCATTAAGAGCATAGTTTGGAAATGTTGCTTTGGGGAGACCCCAGATTCCAGAATTCCCACATCCAGGGTGGCCAACGGCTAACTGCATTTCCCCAGGTGTCACTTTCTAAGCATTGGTTAAAATTAAACACAGTTATTCCCCCAACAGATAAATGGAGTGACAGGTTGGCTGGACGGCAGTGCCATTTATGGCTCATCGCATTCTTGGAGCGACTCCCTGAGGGATTTCTCAAATGGCAAGCTGCTGGCGGGCAAGGACCCCGGCTTTCCGAAGCAAACCCAGGCTACCAGCCTGATGTGGAAGGCTTTGGATCCAGCCACAGGACAGGGTGGACCACAGGGGATATTTGGTAAGTGAGGCTGGTGGTATGGCGTCTTTCCCATCTTGTCATTGATTCCTAAAGCCCAAACTTAATTAAACCATAATAAAAAATAAAATCTGGATGAGCATAAGGCATGAATAAAGGAGCGGAAGAAAATGCAGGTGGAATTCAGTAGGAAAGGGTGAAAATATTTGCAGTGTACAAAACAGCAGACTGGGGAAAGCACAATAAACCAGAAAGGGTTATAAAATGTTATGCGCATTCTTTGTACTTTCGGATGGATGTGACAAGGAGCCATACTCTCTTCTACCGTTTCTAGCAAATACAAATATTTTATTGTTTTATGCATGTTTATGATACTTCCTCTCTGTTATTTGGAGGTAGTTTGGATAAGAAGGGACTTTTGGCTAGTCTCCAGTTGGCTTTCATTCGCTCCTGCATGTTTGACACCAAAGGACTAGACTACTTAAGTCTGCAGGCGGGCTGGGCTGTTTGCTTTGAGTGCTGCCTGACGTTATAAAAGCAGGGCTTATAAAAACAGTTTGACCTTCTCCCTCTTGCTCTCGCGGACAAGGAGATTTCAGAGTCTTGGTCTGATAGTCAAGAGCTTCCACATCGGAATTCTGAACTGGGGCCCTCGCTAGCATTTCCGAACATGTCGTTTAACTACTGTACAACATTGGGCAGCTTTTCCCAGTGGCTGTGGTGTAGTGGAATCAGGGCTGGCAGGATCAAAGCTCTATGCTTTTTTTCATTTCACTATGATGTTCCCATTCCCTTTAGATTCACAGCTTCTGTTTGGAGCAGCCGTCCTCACAGCAATTGAAGAAGAAATAGGCTTTCCTAGGGATCAGTATATCATTGCAAGCTGCCTGTGTAGTTATGGAAAGTATTAGAGTGTCATTTGGTCTTGCATGGGCAATTAAGATCCATTCATTCTACAAAAGACCCGCTCCTCATTTGTTGATATGGATGGCAACCCAATTGCCTGCATTCTTGGACTCTCCTGGGGAGGAGCTGGCTATGGGAACTCTCCTGACAAGCATCGGCTCTTCTACACCTCCTCTTACACCACTGCCTTCTTGCAAAGCACCCCCAAAACATTTTCTCATGGGTAACCTGCCCACAGAGATGTATCACATATTCTTGACCCTTCCTCTCTTCGTTTCCTTTTCTCTAGATTTTGGAAATGCCAAAGGAAATGAGAACCCGTTCCTGCAAGCCGTCAGCATCGTCTGGTTCCGCTATCACAACTACTGGGCAGAGAAGCTTGCCAATACCTCTCGGTCAGAAGAAGATATTTTCCAACATGCACGTAAACGAGTCATTGCTACTTATCAGGTGAGTCAGGCGGGGAAGAAGAGGGTTTAAAAAAACCCAAAAACAAAGCCCTCCCTAGTTTTCCAGTCAGGTACTGAGGGTTGTAAGTCTTAAATCTGTGTAAACCACTCAGTGTAGTGCTTGCATTAATGGGGTGATCCATAAATGGAATGAATGAATGAATGAATGAATGAATGAATGAATGAATGAATGAATGAATGAATGAATGAATGAATGAATGAACTTATGCCTCCTTGACAGAGGCTGGATTCAGCGATTCATAGGATCCCTTCCAGCTCTGCAGTTCTAAGATGATGATGATGATGATGATGATGATATATAAATTTAAAGGGCACTTGATCAAGACAAATTGCATTGGATGGATATATTGTTTGACTTAAGAAAGCTTCCTGCATTCCTGCGTGTCTCATGGCGGCTTCCTTTCCCCTCTTCTAGAACATTGTCCTCTATGAATGGCTGCCAACATTTCTGAGGAAGGAAAGCATCACACCATATGAAGGTAAGGAGTGGTTTCATGGCAAAAGAGGCACCATAGCAAGGAAGCAGAGCAGCGCTGGCTGCTTAGAGCACCTCTTGCTCAGTGGAGAGGGTAAAGATGAGCACTCAAATCCATGCAACTCTGTGTTGTAAGAATGTTGAGTTTTTTTGGTTAAATTCCTCTAGCTGCACAGCAGAAGTGCAGGGCAGAATAGCTTCAAGTTCCCCGGCTTATCCACCCCCTTTCAGGCACCATAGCAAGGAAGCAGAGCAGCGCTGGCTGCTTAGAGCACCTCTTGCTCAGTGGAGAGGGTAAAGATGAGCACTCAAATCCATGCAACTCTGTGTTGTAAGAATGTTGAGTTTTTTTGGTTAAATTCCTCTAGCTGCACAGCAGAAGTGCAGGGCAGAATAGCTTCAAGTTCCCCGGCTTATCCACCCCCTTTCACCATCAACTGGCACTTACAGTCTCACCAATTCACTCTGAGACATCAGTAGCAGAAAGAATAAAAAAAGTTGGGGCTCTCTTTGAATCAGAAGCAGACTTACAGTCTCACCAACTCACTCTGAGACGTCAGTAGCAGAAAGAATAAAAAAAAGTTGGGGCTCTCTTTGAATCAGAAGCAGGAAAGGAATGATTGGTTAGTGCCGGACAGATTGACAGCCGCCTCAGCCCAAGAAAGGAAGCAGGAAAGGAATGATTGGTTAGTGCCAGACAGATTGACAGCCACCTCAGCCCAGAACGATCCCTCCCAACCAAACCTACTAAAGATAGCATACAAATTTGCAAAAGAACAAAAAAAAACCCACCCCCCTGCAACACTGTACATGCAGTGATCACAATTTACTTGATTATTTTGTCTGAAGGAAAGAGGAGAGTAAGCTACTATTTCCTAACGAGGTGCATGCATAACATAAAACACGTTCCTGAATCAGCAGGGCCTGGGAAAGTTACTTATTTGACCATGGGTTTGCTGGCTCGATCTTTTGGGAACTGAATTCCATCAAGGAACTTTTCAAAGAGTGTCACTAAACACACAGCCAGGGTCGTGACAGACAGTCCTCCCTTCCCCAGCATCACGGAGACGATGCTCACCCTGACTGCTGCCTCGAACGCAAATTATTTTTGGAGAGAATGGATTCAGAAGGTTACCACCAGGACTGGGCGCTTTATCGTGTGGTCCCTACTGGTTTGCTACATTAAGCCCTTCTATGAAACCTTATTGTTTCCTCTTTGTGTAGGAATCATACAGGCTTATTATGGAATTTGTATCCAGAGTCTCTGCCTCCAATCACGGGGAGTCATTCATGAGGTTCCATTGGGGTTCCTCATCCAGGAAGAAGGTTACCACCAGGACTGGGCGCTTTATCGTGTGGTCCCTACTGGTTTGCTACATTAAGCCCTTCTATGAAACCTTATTGTTTCCTCTTTGTGTAGGAATCGTACAGGCTTATTATGGAATTTGTATCCAGGCCTTGACGACCCCTAGATCTGAGCTTCAGCCATACGGAAAAATTAAGGGCCTTTACACCGGATGAAGGAAACTCTGACAGGTCCAGGGAACAGTTTTGTTTTGGTTTTTTTATGGCCAAAAAGGTCCAAAAGAGTAGAATTTTTAACCCAGAAGTGCTTGGATACCTGCTTCTAATTTGAGTTGAGGAGGGCCTGAATTACAAAAAATAGCTGCACTGAATAGCCCTGGGACTGGATAACTTTTTTGTTTCCCTCATTTTCCTCCCTGCAACCAGAGAAGGGCAGCCTCAGTGGGTTGCGAGCAGTCTTGCTTGTACAGTGGTGCCTCGCAAGACGAACGCCTCGCCGGACGAAAAACCCACAAGACGAAAGCATTCTGCAATCGTCTTGGTGACTTGCGAGCAGTCTTGCTTGTACAGTGGTGCCTCGCAAGACGAACGCCTCGCCGGACGAAAAACCCGCAAGACGAAAGCGTTCTGCAGTCGTGATGGCTTCTTCTATGACCGTGCTTCACAAGGCTTTTTTTTTTTGCAAGACCAATGCTTCACAAGATGAAAATAATTCATTCATCTTGTGAGGTTTCCCATAGCAATGCATTACAATGCATTCTTATGGGAAACCGCTTTTCGCAAGACGAAAATTTCGCAAGACAGTCCTACTCACGGAACGAATTACTTTCATCTTGCAAGGCACCACTGTATAAAGCTTTGCTTTAGACCACAACCTGAGACCTTTGGTAACAAAGGGGCTCTTGATTAGCTTATTGAGACCTGGGGTAGATGGCTCTCTATTTTCACCCTCCCTCGCTCTGTGTATTGTAGGTTACAAGCAGCATGTGGATGCCAGGATCTCTCCTGAATTCGTGGCAGCTTCAGCTCTCTTCCTGGGCACGATGGTCCCTTCCGGAGTCTACAAGAGGTGAAGAGAACATGTTCCCTTCTGTCGGCCCTCTAATGCTTCTGCTGCTCCACGAGTCAGCTGTCTATCAGTTGCTTTTTCCAGCTTGGTCCTTCAAGAAAGAGAAGTGACAGGGGTGAAAGAACAAGTAGTGGGTGCCACCACCACTGTGCCCCCCCTCCAGCCTCTCTCTGCCTAATAGTAGGGCCAATCCTGGGTCATACAACCCCATAGTCCCAAAGCAGGGACACACAAATTCTGGAGATCCAGGGGCCACATAGCCCCACAACCTATAAGGTTATACCACTGCCCCAATAGCAGTTCAAAATATGTCTTTTAATCCAGACCCCCACCTCTCTAGTCATTTTGTCACAAGTGGAATTATCCAGGTTCCCCTCCCTTTCTGTCTCATACTTTTTCATCTGTTCATCTTTTGATTTTATTCCATCTTCCCTTTTTCCCCTAATAAGCATTACTGACCCATGAAACATGTTTCACCCTGGAGAGACAATTCCGTATGATTGTTCCACTTTGGAGAGCAGCTCAAACCCTCTGTTTTCCTTCTTCCCGTACAACTGTCTTGTATTCATGAGATCACTGCACTCTTCCAGTGACTCACCTCACGTGTTTCAAATGCAAGCGTAGGCGATAGCATTATGGACCACTACAGTCATCATACGATACGCAAGCTTTCATGGATAAAACACCACTTCCTCAGGCTTGTGCCAACTTAAAGTCTGAAAGTTCATGGCAAGATGGACTTCGCCAGGCGTGTCTTTCGTAGATGTAAGTCAGGAGAGGTTCAGAAAGCAGCGTGGTTGATGTTTTAAAGTTACAGCTGGTATAGCTGTGGGTAGGATTTCACACCCCAGTTCTAGAAAAGCTTTCGTATTGCATAATGATTTTAGTAGTCTATAAAGGAATTGCCTACTCTTGCACCTGTATTTTGTATTGACCCCATAGCTCCCTTTTATTTCAATGGAATCTCACATGTCGTTTTCCTTCAGGAACTCATCTTGCAGCATCCAAAATGTGACCATAGATGGCCGTGCTTCTCCACCGCTCCGCCTGTGCAACAATTACTGGAGTCGAGGGGTAGGTGTCTCTCTTCCTTGGGATCGGGGCCATCCGAGGAGAACTAAGCCTAGACTTCCCACTAAAGGTAGAAGCTCCAGGGCCGAATAGGGGGAAACAGAGAGCAGGGAAATGCATTGAGACAGTGAGAAGAAAAGCACAGCGTGTAAACTAGATTTCCATAAATCTGGCTTCTTTGCCATGCTAGGTGAGTATGGTGGAAGACCTAGTGACAGCGTAGCATGTGCGGAAGAGACGTTGCCGAGCAAGGTTGGCGTGGACAGTTCCAAGTGAGATGGGCCAATGGGCTAGCTCAGTAAAAGGCTGCCCCCTATGCCCAGTGCTGAAGCTAGCATCAGACAAGGCTTCGCAACACATTGATGCTTCATGTCGTCCCTTGGGGTCTTTTCTGTCTCGCTCAGAATCCCAGTCTTAAAACAGCTCAAGATGTGGATGAGCTGCTGCTCGGAATGAGCTCTCAGCTTGCTGAGCAAGAAGACAACATTGTGGTGGGTGATCTTCGAGGTAAGCCTCCCGTCCCTATCCCCCCCCTTTCTTTAAGCAGCTATGCACGATTTGATCTCTATTTGTGGGGGCTACAAAGAGCGGTTTGCAAACCTGGTAAAGGCAGAGCTTGGCAAAATAATAATAATCACTTTTTGGACTACAGCTCCCAGAATCCCCAGCCAGCATAGGGGAGTTATAGCCCAAAAGATAAATTTTCCCCAGTTCACTAGTAAAACATTCTAAATATTCATTGGCTCTTAAGAGTCTTGGGTGTGTGTGGTTACATCCCACATGCAGTAACTGATGGGCTATGTTTGGTGTTGAGTTCTATTGTAAACATTTCTGCAGGAGACAGAAAACAGATAAAGCATGGGCAAATAAGAGGGGGGAGAAGGGGGCTGGTGAAGACTGACAGGGATATCAGCTAAAAACTCAAGAGTGGGGGAAAGTGGGGAGAAGAAATGTATATAAAAGTAAAAGAAGAAAGGAGAGGAACCACATGGACAAAGCCTTCAAAGAGGCTCTGTCTAAGTGAATCATTTTGCAAATGGAGCATATCTCCTGATGACCAGCCACCAGACGAAACCAAGCTGATTTTCAGGTTGGGGAGCTAAAGGAAATCCCCGTAGGATAAATAAATGAATCTAACCTCTTTAGGATACTCTGCTTTAATGATGGATGCACTGTCACGTCTGTTTTGACCTTGAGAGCAAGCAATACAGGGAAGAAAGCCCACCGCACATGAACATCTTCTCCTTTATTGACAACGTTCCTTTCTAACTGGGCATCGGTCCAAGCACATAAGATCCGTTTGCATCCAGAGGTGCCCAACAAAAGCCACGACAGGGCTGCTCCTGTCCTGCTCTACCCTGACAGCTGTTCCGTTTCGTCCTGCAGATTATTGGTATGGGACGGTGAAGTATTCCCGCATGGACTTCGTGGCCAGCTGGATTCAGCGTGGGCGGGACCTGGGGTTGCCCACCTATAACAAAGCCCGAGAATTCTTCAATCTCCAGCCTGTGAAGGACTGGCAAGAGATCCGCCAGGAGAACCAAACGGTAATTTGTCGGAGGCGTTGGGGAGGCAAAAGGGGGACCAGGCAGGAGGACAGCTTGTCAGCAGGAGGGTGAATCAATGCACAGGGACTCATGCGCACATCTGGCTGGCTTTTTTCTAGAGACCCATAAACAAGAGGGTGGAAATGCTTCCCTCCATTAAAGTGCCCCAACTCCTCCAGCCCATAGGGCCACCAGGGATGTTTACCTGGACAATGTTAGGACCTGTAGTGTAAAGAATTCCAAGTTCTAGTTTTAGATCCCCATAAACCCATTTGCTGGAAAAAAAAAGGCAGCCAGTTCGAGACGTGCAGCCAAGGAGGACGGCCAGATCATGGCTTGGCCCCACAGCGCCTGTTTGGCCTGGGTAATGGAGCCAGCGTCAATCCATAGGTGTAGTTAGTTTTAGATCCCCATAAACCCATTTGCTGGGGGGGAAAAGGCAGCCGGTTCGAGCCGTGCAGCCAAGGAGGATGGCCAGATCATGGCTTGGCCCCGCAGCGCCTGTTTGGCCTGGATAACGGAGCCAGCGTCAATCCACAGGTGTAGTTATAGAAGGGGTAGCCGTGTTAGTCTGTGCAAGCATTGTCGGTAAAAGCAAAATAGAAATTAAACAAAGAGAAAAGCATGGGAGCCCCTTAAAGACTAACATTTATAAATATCTTAATGTAAAAAAATTATAAATGTTAGTCTTTAAGGGGCCACCAGGTGTGGGTTTTTTACGTTTTATTTTGCTTTTGCTTATAAGGTTCAATCCAGGGTATCTCTAGTTGCTGTGATGGGTTTTGTCCTAAAGGATGATGTAGCAGGGGAAGGGAAGAGCTTTTATTTGACCCCCCCGGGAACGGATTTCTAGACAAGACTGGGCTCCGTGACTCAAATCCCTGCTTGGCTACAGAGCTCATGGGTCCGCTTGATGATTGCTGGGTGGATCAGGCGGAGGAAAGCCGTGGATTTGATCTCAAGTTCATCAGAGGAAAGGAAGGAATAAAACAAGCATGTAAAATACAGGGGCGTGATCTCGAGCCTAGACAAGACGGACCTTCAGTCTGGTCCAGCTACAGCCTTCAGAGGTTAAGAATTGAGTATGGTCACAGGAGAGAATACATAGTCCTTTGACAATGTTTCTAAGATGGCATTTTGTGCATCCGTTTCAGGCCCAGCCCACTCCTTGGCTATGTGGGATGTTTGGATGTTTTGGAAACGGTAACACCAAAAGACAGGGGATATTGTTGTTGTAATAAGCAAATATTGCTGGCATCTGACTTTATTGACGTGGGAGTGAAGAAACAGGGTCATATTTCGAAACAACCGCGATGGCCCTAAACACCTGGGAGTGGATAGAAGTTTTGTCTGTAGAAATAAGAAAAATCATGTTGGAATCTCAGGGAGGTTTTCCCATGGCCATAGAAAACAGCAAAAATCTTTCTGAAGTCTTAAATCATGGTGGGAGCTGCACCCCTCTGGAGGTTGATGGACTATAGTTCCCATGGGCCCCTGGCATACTAGCGGACTGTGAGGGTTAAGAGGCCATGCCAAACAAAACTCCCAGCTTTGTTTTCAGATTCCACCCAAGAATAAGTCATCGTTGTGTCTTCCCCTAAGTTAGAAACTAGATCTTGGGGGGGGGGGAGAACCATGGGAAGTAGTGATTGGGGGGGAAAGTGGGGTTAGGCAACCTGTTGGATCCAGCCTTCCAGTTCACAACAGTCCTCCACAACATGAGGGGAGCATGTAGACTAACTGTGGTTCTGTTTAGGTTTTCGGTTTTTTAAGAAACTGAAAATCGGTTCTCTTGCCGCAGCTTACAGGAATCCAACAAAACGTTGGATAGATTGGAGGATTCAACAGTAGAACCTTCTGACCTTCATCATCTACTCCTTAACAGTGCTCTTGTAACTCCACTGCATCTCAAATGGTGACCGCAGAGGCCGGGGTGGCCCACATAGCCAGAACTAGCTTATAAGTTCCATTTCAGCCAGGCTGTAGTGGAGAGAAAGCTCACGGGGTCAATGAGATGGGTTGAGTTGCGCTTCAAGCTTTCCTGTCCTCTCTGCCCTGAACTGCAGTCTTCACAGAAGCGAGAGACTTTTCTGCTTCGCTCTGGGAACGGTCACGATGAGAACAGGCACGTTGACATTTTAGCGCTGCACCACTGTGAGCCTAACCTTATTGTTTGTTCCTAGCTTCTTGAGGAAATTGCTGCCATGTACAGCAACGACACAGGGCGTCTGGAGATGCTGATTGGGGGCATGCTGGAAGCCAATGGAACCCTCTTCCACTCCATCATTGAAGACCAGTTTCTTCGCTTACGGGATGGGGACCGTTTCTGGTTTGAAAACACCAAGAATGGGTATGAAGAGTCAGTCCACTTCCTGAAAGCATTCACAGGCATTCAGCCTGTAGGGAAGATTGTCGGCCAGTTGACAAAGACAGAGGATTGTTCTTTATCATTAGTTTCAAACACCAGAAGCTTTCTGTAATGATCTGTGCTAGTTCTTGGGTATGCTACTGTCTGGAAGAGTGGTTTTTCACCTGTGGCTTCTAGGATCCCCCAGGAAACCTTACCTGAGGATTTTGGGAGTTGTAGTCCAGTGTTCTTCCAGGTTTGTGAAAGGGCTTCCATTCCCAAACAGCTGTAGGAATGCGGCTGCATGTGTGAAGGCAATTCTGAGTCATGACATGAGATCGACCTTAGAACTGGTATGGTTCCCCCTGCATCTCTAAGATCAAATAGCAATGGATGGGGAAACCCTTCACTCCTAAACACCCTACAGAGCCACAGCTATTCAAATAACCCAACCCTTCATAAAGCAGTTTCCTATATTCCAGACATCCTTCTCTTAAAGTCTTCAAAGCATCCCTCCCCACCTCTAGGTGAGGCAGGAGCCAATCCTAACTCAACACTCTCTGGATGTGTTGGACCACAATTCTCATCCTCCGCAGCCAGAATAATCACCTGTGGTCTTGAGACCTGTAATGCAACACATCAAGAGGGCAATGGTTTGGGGAGAAACTGCACTATTACCCGACTACCTTGAAATCTTACCAACTGGAGCTCTTAGTCATATCTCAGCTCCTTTCCACATCCATGTGGCATGCAGGCCCAAGAAATGGAGCTGAGGAGAAACTGGAAAACGTTGGGCATGAAGCAAAGCTTCCATGGCTAGGAGCAGTGTTGCTTTGAAGGCAGTGATGGTTTGGGGTTTAGAGGGAGGCCCTTGTGGAAAGCCACTGTCTACCCACTGGGGAAACAGAAGTTGGGGTCGAAGTAGGCTGAGACTTTACCAACCCTTTATGTTGGCATTTCGTCCTTCCTTAGTTTATTCTCCCCTGACGAGATCGAAGAAATTCGAAATACCACATTCAGTGCTGTTCTTGCTGCGGTGACCTTCCCGGAGTCAGAAATTCACCAAGAGAACGTGTTTCGGAAAAATGATGGTGAGTGTTTTCTGCTGTACACGGTGGGACACCGTAGCTTTGTGAGAACTCCCAAAGAAGCCATTCCACAGCCTTTGTGCAAATGTGTGTGAACTGGGGGGAGATGGACTGTAGCTCAATAGCAGAGCGCACCTTTCCCATGCGGAAGGTCTCAAGATCAGCCCCCAGCATCCCTTAGGTAGGGAAGAACCCTGTCTAAAATCCTGGAATACGTTGCTGATCAGTATCGACAATAGAAGAATCAGTGGTTTGACTTAGCCTAAGGTGGTTTCTTGTTTTTCATTATTATAAATATTCATTCCAATGAAATGGGCATCATTAAAGTACGATATGGAAGCCAACATTTTATATTAATGTTGATGGTATTTGTTTTAAATTACAGGATCAACTTCTATTTCTTGTAGGCATATAATTTTTATTGTCCATTTCTATTGTTTTGTTTTTAGTGGGTGGATGGCTGTTTTTCACCTGTGAAACTATCTAATAGCAATGTTTCATCTTACATACGTTTATATATCTTAACGCTTTGGCTAGAATCTGGTGGACCTAACCCATTGTAATGTTTGCTGACTAAAGATGCAGGAATTGGGGCTAGTTTGTCAAGAGAGACTAAGGTTTTTACTCACAGTCTGCTTTGATGGTAACACTTGGGGTCAAATTAGACAATATAGATTACATGTTGTTAGAAGCTGATAACAATTCCATAGAGCAGGGGGGTCATGTTCTTGGATCCCCAGATGTTCTTGGACTTCAGTTCCCAGAAATCCTGACCAGCACAGCTAGTGGTGAAAGCTTCTGGGGATTGCAGTTCAAGAACATCTGTGGACCCAAGGTTGGGCACCACTGCCGTAGAGCTTTGTATCTGAGCAATCCAGCTTGCCATTGAAGCCCAGTTTATCTCCCACCGACCATACACAAAACACAGCAAGCTAATTCTCAGCATGGGTTGTGTGAGAGAAGATTTGTGCTACTTTCAGCACTTAATGAAATTCATATTTCCAATGTTACACTATCAATGTTGAAAATTTTTTTTATTCCAGGGTGAAGCCATAGATCAACCTTTCTGTATACCGGCTTGCTTGCATTGCCCACTTCTCTTCTAATCTTCTAGAAGAGCAAAACCACCCTCTTTTATTTAGAACTAATGACAGGTTGTTGTTCCATTGAAATTAAAGACCGCAGTTAGTTTGTGTTGGCTGAAATCCTGTTGCTGAACGTAGTAAATTGCAACTGGAGTGGGCATGGGTAATCAATGGGACTTGTGGAGGAGTTGACTTACCAAGTCCTCAATAATTTAATGGACCTACTCTAGTTGTGACTTAGTATACTAATCAACAAAGTTTCAGCCCTTTTGGGGGTGGGGATGTTCCCCTGTAGTGAGCAACTTGTAAACCTCTTGTCATCCTGCACCACAAGGTATGTTGATGTTGGCTGATGAGAGCTATAGCCCAACAATGTCTAGAGGACCACCATTACCAATCTCATATTTATTACAAACAAGCCAGGATCAAAACCATAGTTTGAAGGATAAACTATGGTTAAAGCTAACCACATTCTATGCTGGTTTGGACAAAATAACAAAGTGCAGTTAAGTGTTACCAGGTGAACGTTTCTCATGTTCTTCTTGTAGCTATGCTGGTGGACTGAAGGGGAAGTACAAGACCGAAACCTGATTCTTTCCCACCATGAATGATGGGTTATGTCTAAACATACCCAGTATTTTACTCAACTAACCTCTTTTTGTCCCAAACTAGAATGATTATATATACAATTTCAATGCTCCAACAGGAGAAGGCTTGAATACAAGCCATGGACCTAAGGCGTTCCAAGTTGCTTCTCCACCCGCTCTTCTCCCATACCTGCCCTGCAATGTTTGCTGCAAGACCATTTTTATGAGATTCCTTCTTTCCAACTTAGCACGAGACCAGAGTTATTGATTTATATCAAGTGGTTTTATTATGTGGAGGTCCAGTGACAAGATCTCCCCAGTCCGCTATTGCGTTGTGGCAGAATTTCCAAAATTGCAACACAACGCCTTTTCTGCTTACTCACACCTTTATATATGGATCACCTGAGGCATTTCAGTTCATGAGAGACTGAGAGAGAGAGAGAGAGGAGGAGGAGGAGAAAAGCAGAATGAAAACATTAGTGTCCATACCAAGGAAATTCCATTTCTGTGAGCCAGAGTACCTGAGGGAGTCTGGCATTTAGCCCTGGGGTGAGGAGCTATTGAACCCAAAGCATTGAGAAATCTGGGTACAAATTGCAACTCCAGAGGGACTGAAAATGTGCTGATTCTTCTAACTCTAAAGACGCTTCTTCTCAGAGATGGGAGAAGGGGCCAGTTTGTGCTGACATGCCTGCTGTCTTGTGTTTTCTTCCCAGATACCCCGTGTCCCCTTCTCGGGCCAGTAAATCCACAAGATCTTCCTCCCTGTGAACCACTAACCGTACTCGATTACTTCCAAGGGAGCGCTGCTGGATTTGCTATCATCATTGTCATACTCGTCTGCTTGCCTTTAGGTTTGTTCTGCTCCGGGCCTTAATGGCTTCTACACTTTCCAAAGAAGTGCTGGGTTGGAGTTATGTACATATTAGGGGGTGCTGAATACCTATCTACACACCCGAAGAAGTGGACTTGTCCATGAAAGCTCACATTCAAATATAACAGTTAGTCTTTAAGGTGCTACAGTGTTTTTGTCTTCTATCTTTTTAAAACAACAACAACACACACACAACATTAAACTTCAATCCATATTGAAACCAAGACTAAAAACAAATTTTTAACTTATTTTAAAAACATTTCAAACTCTCTATATGCAAGAAATGTAGCATCCCCTAGACCTTCACGTCTTGCTTAAAAGCCAAGCGGATGGATGGATGGAAAGACCAGAGGGAGGGAGGCCAACCTGGCTTCTCAGGGCAGGGCATTCCAACGCCTGGGAGCCACCACTGAGAAGGCCATCCTAGCCTTAACAGGCCAGGTGAACTGGCCAGGTATCAAGGAGGAGGGGCGAATGGATCCCAATGGCTGCAGGTCTTCTCCTGCAGGACTGCAATCCTTAGTAAGTGCCCCGTTGATACCAACCCTCGTCACCAGGCCCCTATAGACCATTCTAGCTGCTGGCAGCCCTCAAGGCTCTGCTTATTGCTATCGTCTCTTTCTACACAGTGAGTCTGTTCATCGCTTGGGTGGTTGCTGTTTCCCGAAGGAGATCCTTCAAAAAGCTGCAGAAGAAGAACAGCCCCAGCGTCAAGGCGGAAGTCAATGCAGACAGCATCCAAGGTGCGAGACCCCAAATGGCCCTTGGCTTGCAAGGTATTGCGTCGTGCACTTGTTTGGGAGCAAACGATTCCCAGGATCTTTCCTTCTTGCCAGGCAGTGTTCGGTTGGGTTGCTTGCTCTCCCGTATCCTGCTCTGTCCTCAAGAGCTAGGATTTGAATGTTTACCCTGGATGAGAGTGTTGGCGGCTGCAGTGATTCTTCAATTGCGCTTGCTTTATTTAAAGACATACATTTCCTAGCAAGACCAACAGCAGGCTGCTTTGTGGATGCAGGATTCTCACCGTTATTTTTACCTACTCAGTTTAGAGTGTCGATTAGACAGATTTGCCCAGGATATTGACCCCATAGAAGTTAAAGCATTGAGTTCAACTTTTGGTTCCTTTTCCTACTGACCAGATGACACTAGGTTGAATGAGCTAAAGTTTATGGCTTTTTCCCCTTGGCTTCCATGCTTTCTTGGTCTCTCTGGGGGGTTCGTGGACTGTTGCAGGGGGTCCTTGTTTAGTGCTATAGGGCTTTCTATGCAGAATTCATGTCTGCGTCTAAACCTCCCAGTGGGAAGTCTTTATTTAATGGTGATGGCAGGAAACCCCAAGGCAATGCTGCAATAAGGAAATAATTTGTAACAATATTTTTCTTGGGAAGCCTAGAGAAGTAGTTTCCTGATTTTTGCAGTGCAGACCTTAATGCCAGTAAGACTGGATCCCCTTCAGGGCAAACCATATCTACTTACGCTTGTTTGCCTTTGGTACTTGATACCGTTCCCTCTCTTCCAGCCTTTGAGTGGCAAGATCCCAAGACCACCAGCTCTCCCATCTACCTTCAGCTGCAGGAAGACAGGGTGATCAAAGTGTTGGACAGCAACCTGGCTGTGCTTCGAAGCATCACGCTGAAAAGCCAACAGCCTGTTGAGACCATCTTGTCTAACAACAAGGGCAGAAAGACTCTGCTCTTGAAGATCCCAAAAGAATATGACCTGGTAATGCAACATGTCTAATATCAATCGTTGGTTGGTTGGTTGGTTGGTTGGTTGGTTGGTTGGTTGGTTGGCTGGCTGGCTGGCTGGCTGGCTGGCTGGCTGGC